GCAGGGGAAAGGAAAGAAGGGAAAGGAAAAATGCTGAGAAATGGAAAAAATGGAAATAAATTCTTTGTAAATAGGGAAGGGTGGAGGGCTTGAAGGGAGGGCTAGGAATGGGGAAAAAATAAGAACCAAGTTGCATTATGTAAAGGTACAATTCCCAATGAGAAATGTAGTTGTGTTGTATACCTATAATGTACCAATAAAAGAATTTAATACAAAAAAAAAAGTTTGTACTTTAGGGTAAGGTCTTCTGTTGGAAAATCAAAAGACCCCTGAGAAAGGAAACTCTACAGGATGACAGCCTTTATGACCTTGAAGGAGATACTTAGCATTTTACTTTCTCCCTTAGCAGCTGAATGAAAATAAGGGACAGAGAATTGGGGGAATATGTTCCATTCTGCATCAGAACATGTTCCACTGTCCATGGGGCACTGCAGTGTGGAATGAAGGAGTCTGGTATCAGATGGAGGAGTGGGGGCAATCATGGAAGGAATGCCTGTCTTAAGGAAGAATTTAGACATCATGAGTAGCCACTGCAAGGACTACCAGGGCTTAAATTTTGCCTGATTGCTTCTATAAGGGTCTAAGATAGACAAATTACATCCTAAATCCCACATTTACAGCCTTGGAAAAAGTACATTCTTCTGTGCCTCTGTCTGCTTGTCTGTAAAATGAGGGCAATTCTACTTGATTTACAGGGTTAGTGCAATGGATAAATGAGATTACTCATGAGAAATGCTTACCTAAGGTTTAAAGTACATCTGGGCAAACATAGCTGCTATTATGCCTACACACTCTACAAAGCTCATAAGGAATTATTATTCAGTATCCTCCAAAGTTAAATTCTCTTCACATTTTCAACATTTTTTTTACTTTTAGTAAACATCTAAAAAGCAGATAATGGATACCCGTATATCTGACTTAATACTACTATCCTGCCAAAGATACCACAGAAGCTCAGAAGCAAGCACAGTGTTTGTTGAAGACCCTTGAAATCCATGGCATATTGGCTATATCATCTTCGCAAGTAGCCAGCACATAAGTATAGAGAATCATGAAAAAATACTCACAAGGACTTTCATTTTGCCTGAAGGGAAGATGGTGCCAGAGCAAGTGAAGCAGCCTGTTGCAGTTTCTACCCTTTATATTGATTTTAAAATGTGGAAATCTCTTTTCCAAATGATCACATAGGAAAAGACCATGTCCATATCTCTGACACACCCTCGCAAATTCCTTTATCAGAATTGAGACTCAACCACATCCTTTATATCAATAAAGTTCATAAGTCAGTAATGAACGTTCCACACTTGGTCACTCTGTAAATATTCTCTACTTATCTGTTCTGTACTGCACCTGAGATTTCAATTTTTATCCTTTAAAAATATTTCAAGGTCCTTATCCTGCAGATACATTTCATAGACATGCAAGGATATATTCCTAGAATTTCCTTCTGAAGATATAGTCCTTCCTTAAGCTTTGAGTTGTCCCTCTCCTCAGTCTCTTTGAATCACTATCCTGCTTGTTGAATGTGTCCCCCTCAGGAACAGACAGGAAATTTAGAGGCAAGGCTGATGACTGAGAGTCCTGCTTTGAGAATGAACATACTTATGGCTTTCTTTATTCCCTTTAGAGTTGGTGCCAATTTCCAGAGACTCAAGAAACAAGACTCAGACAGCCCTCTGCCCAGTACCAGGGATAACCAATATTTACCTTGAACTTTGTTGAGAACACCATGAAAACTGTGACTTACATATTTCTAGTTATCCTTGAGGACACTGAGACATTCTCAGATTTTAAAGAGAGAGAGAATAAACTTTAATTTCTGTGGATTTTTTAGTGCTACAATTATAAATGACTAGCTAGCATAGGCAAGGAAAAATTTTTAAACGCAAATGTAAACTACACAATTATAAAATTTTGAGAATAAACACTATAAGCAAAGAGATGACATACTTAATGAGTTGTTCTACAGCTGAAACAACTTCCTTGCTAGCAGTTTTATTTTCAAAAGGGGATTTTTAAAAACGGATATGTGGACAATTGGGGGTTTACTTAGTTCACTGGAATTCCCCTCCCATGGCTGTTCATCTAGATTCACTGTACAATGTGCTGCTTTTTAAAGTCATTCTGAGGTCTCCTCAGCAGTATGGTTTGCAGTTTCATAGTACATTTGCAAATAGTCTTCCATATGTGGCTCCAGAGACCAAACAACAAGCTGGCAAGGCCTCCAGACATTAGTACTGATGGAATACTACACCTTCCCTCTACTTTGTCTTCTGCCTACCTCTAATAGTTCTAAGTCTATAAGATGTAGTGATGACAATAATTAGCATTTATGGAGCATGTAATATGTCTCCACACTTTCTAAATATTTTGCATATAATTTATTCACTTGATCTCTGTAACTCTATAAGTTACCTTCCACCCTGCTCCATTTTACAGGCAGGAAAAAAACCAAGGTGCCCGAAAGTTAATTAACTCCCTAGAGTCACACAATTTCTTAGGGAAGGAGTTGACATTTGAACTCAACTGACTCCATTTTCCATCCTCTTAACTACCAAAACTGTGTGTCCTCTTGGGTTAGTTGTTGGGTAAGTGTAATAACATCTTGGCTTCCTAAATTGGAGGAATTATCAGGGAACCTTCTTCCAGAATGGTCCTTGACTGAAAGATAGACTTGGAAATTATCAGGCCTTATTCACAATTCAAGAATGTAAGTTTCAACAGGAGGAATGAGAAGTTGTGCTCCTCACTGGTCAGCTCCTGGTTGGGAGGCCCGGAAGGGGATGGGGCAGTGCCTATGGCTCCAGCCGGCTCTGCTCCTCACCAGTTGCTCCTCCTCAAAGTTCTTACAAATGAAATTCATGCCTAAACTGCCCAGCTCCCTGCTGAGGGGATGAAATTGCTGTGTGTGCCCACATCTTGGGTCGCCAATGCAGTAGAGCTGAGAAGGAGCACAGGCCTCCAGACTTCTAAAGCTTCCATAACTGAAATAACTGAAATAACCAGAATAACTGGGTTATTCTGATTGAAGAGCTGTTTCAGGTCCCATTCAGTTCCCTACAAGGAAACTAAGACCCAAACAGATTAAGGAACTTGTTCAAGGTCTGTGTCCAGTTAGTGGAAAGCTAAGACTACACCCAGGCTTCTGGGTTTGGTTCTATTAGTCCTTAATAGGTAAAGCGCTGACTTTTTAAATAATACTTCAATGAATGAAAGAATCTGTATTTATTTACCTACTATTTGACCATTACTTTTCTGATCTAAACAGTGCTAACACAAATTTTTTTGCACACATTCATGTATCCTGGAGTGCATGTCCTACTTGGATTACAGGAAGCGTGCAGAGTAAACCAAAGCATTTTCCAAAAGAACTGACCCAAATTACACTTGCCCTAACATCTAGTTCACACGTCTTGCCAAGATTTGGTGTTTTCACCTTTGTTATTTTTTGATGAACATGAAGTGATACCCATCACAGCGCTAACTTACACTACTTGATGGTATTGGAATTAAGTATCTTCTTATAACTGACCATTTGGGTTTCTTCCTCTATAATTTTCTGGTTTCTGCCCTTTGCCCCATATTTCTAATTTATGTGCATTTTAATGCTGTATAGGAGTTCGTTTCATATTCCAAACTGGTGTTCTTTAATAGATAACTTCCTAGTCTACAGTTTATCCTGTAACCTAGTTCATCATGTGATTTGCTATACAGAAGCTTTGAATTTTAATGTAAAAATGAGCAATATTTTCTTCTATAATGTGTACTTTTAGTCTTGCTTAAGAAATATTTCCAAAGTACACTTTAATGTATTTTTCTACATTTTCTAAGTCTTGCTTTTCACATTTAATTTGACTATCATGTTTGATAGTTTAATTATTATGTTTGTTAGGTTGCAATTTTGTTCCACTTGGGTATCCAGTTGTCCCAGCATCTATTATTGAATAGTTTAGCCTTTTCTAGTAACTTATTAAGTGATATAGTTTCTATGTGCATACTAGCCTGATCATTGCTTCTCTACTTTATTAGTATATTTATTTATCTAAATGACAGTGATTCCCAAATTGAACCCATTTGTGCATAGTGCTCCATTTTTGGAATGCCCATAACAATGGAACATAATAAAAAATTTTCTCTTCAAATTCTTGTTCCTTGAATTTTTCTAGGTAAGGTACATGAATTTCATGCAAAAAAATTCAAAAAATTGAAACTTTTTGCATAGTGGGTTCATTTCAGTTTCTATACTTAAGTTTTAATACATTTAATATATGGTAAGTCAAATCTTCCTGACTTGAGATTTTTTAAAATTATCTCTGCTATTCTTATGAGTTTTCCCTGTCACTTATTTGTTTTCCATTTCATTAATTTCTACTCAGCTTCTTTCAGAATTACTGTTATTTTTCTATCTTGTTGAACACCTATTTATGTTAAATCTCTTTTGCTATTTTAAGGAAAACATTTAAAAATGTACACTTACTTCTAAGTACATTTTATGTGAATCCCACAGCTATTTTATCAGTTCCTAATAGTTCATAATTTCCACTATGATTTTCTTTCTAACCCATCAGTTTTTTGAGTAAAGAAAATCTTTTTCAATTTTTTGAATAAAATTTTTCTCTTTCCTTGTTCTCTCACTTCTCTCTTTCTCTCTCCTCTCTCTCTCTTCTTTTCCAACTCTTTTTTCCTTTGTCAAACATTTATATCTGCATATACTCTAATATATTAAGTTTACCATTTCTAAAATAAAAATAGTTTAGTACATGTTTGCTCCAAAAGAATTTTTCTGGATATTGTTATTGCCTCTAACAATTTCAAGTTCTTCAGGCTTATCTTGAACTCATCTTTGCTTCTTCTGTCATTGTTTTCCTCTATAATGTCTATCTTTCCTTCCAGACCACCAGCCCAAACTCCATTCCTCATTCCTTCCACTGAACACTCCCTATTGTAATGACTTTTTTATTAGTCAGAATATTAGCACTAGCTTCAATAACAAGGAGTGTCCAAATCTCTGTGATTTGACAAAATAAACTTTTATTCCTCATTCACATAAAGTCCAGTGTAAATGATGTTAATGGTAGGTAGACCTCCTAAGTAGATTTTATTACTCTCCTACAAAGTAGATTTCATTTTCTTTCTTATCAGGCTCCTCATCTTCCGAATGTGGCTTCATGGTTATACTAGCATTGTCCAGATGACAGAAGGATGTTTAAGGATGAAGCATGGAGAAAATATATCTGTTCTTAAATTCTTCAGACTGAGTGTGACAAACTCTGCCCATTGTTCTTTGGTATAGAGCAGTAACATGGCCTCATCTAGATGTGAAAGCAATGGAGCTTATTTCTACGCCTAAAAAGAACAAACCACTCCATATCAAAAAACCAAGATTGTCTTCCTGTTTCCTAGCTTCCCATTATTTTATCCTCAACATTATTATTAACTCATGACTTTTATATTGTTTACATTTCTCTTTGTTCAAAGACTTTTTTAAACCTTCCACCAAGTATAAGATAAAGTTGAAAACACTAAGCTTGGCATTTAGCTCACTCTACAGTCTTGTTCCAAAATAAATTCCCCAAATTGTATGAGAGAGGATGCTATATTTTGGATCTTGAATATCCCATAAAAGCCCATGAGTTGAAGGCTTGGTCCTCAGCTATGGAGAGGTGGTGGACTCTTTGGGAGGTGGGGCCTACTGGAAGGAAGTTAAGTCGGTGGGAGGCCTACCCTTGAAGGGGATATTGTGACCCTGCCTCTTTCCTCTCTCACTCTCTTTGCTCTTTGGCTGTCATGAGGTGAACAGGCTTCCTCCAACATGCACTCCCTCTATGATGGACAGTGCCACCACAGGTCCAAAGCAACAGGACCAAGTGACCATTGACTAAAATCTCTGAAATTATGAGCCAAAACAAATCTTTCCTCCTTTAATTTGAGTATATCTATGACTTCTTCACAGTAATAGAAAGTTGACTAACACAGAAGGAAATATTCTAAAGGAAGGGGAAAAAAAGTGCCTATGGGGGTAGAAAGAGGTTCATGTAGAAGTACTAAATTGCCACAAAAGGCACTCAGGCCTTCCCAT